TTTGACTCGGCCACATGGTGTGTTGGCTTTTGGTATAGTGTTTTGACTCGGCCACATGGTGTTTTGACTTTTTGTATAGTGTTTTGACTTATTCGTATAGTGTTTTGACTCGTGTATTGTTTTTTTTATGTGGTTTGTCATGTAATGAAACAAGTTGTTAAACACTGAAATTATGTTTTCTCCAATATATTTTCCGACTCATTTAATTGAGATTGTAAAACTTGAAGTTATATTGTAATATATAAGGTATGTGTAGGCGTATTTAATCGTCCGAGATAAAAAAAAGGGTACATTTGTCTTGATTTTTTAAAACACGAATATACAATCGTTACTTTGTTGAAAATAACAATCCTACAATTGTTTCTTCAAACTTGTACACAGTCGCGGCCGTGGTGTTCTGTCGCGAGGCGCGACACTGGTGGTACCATGGTGGGACAGAAAGCTTGCCAGGGACACCGCGCCCGCGACGCAGTCGCAAACGTGACAAATGAATATGTCGCGGCAGTGGTGTTTGTCGCGGCCGCGGAATAAGTGGCAAGCAATCTATCCAAACTTTAGCTGCCCCAGTGTCGCGGCCGCGACACCAACCACGCCAGCGACACGATGTTTCACATATGTAACGACTGTACAATCGTTGACTATTAGGAAATAACGACTCTACAATCGAATTTGACACTTAAAGTTTGTCGTTGTAGCGACATCTGTCGCGGTCGTGATGTTTGGAAATGTCACGCCTGAGACGTCCGTCCCGCCCGCGACCAGTGTGGCAAGCTTTCTGTCCAAACATTATAGCACAGTGTCGCGACAGCGATAGAGGCCGCAGCCGCGACATTTGGACTTAACAAACTAACGATTGTAAAATCGTTAATTAAACAAAATAACAAGTATACATTCGTTAGTATTGAAATTATAATTAAAATACGTTGTGTTTATTTTCATCTTGATCGATTAAAACACATACATTCGTTATATATATGAACTCACTACATTCGTTATGTTTTATACTTTATTTATATAAAAAAATATAAGATACTTTTTTTTATAGGGTTAATTGTTAAATAAACCATAACCTTTTTGCGTTTGGCAATTTTATCCCAATCTTTGGATAATTGCAATATAATCTCGACCTCAATTTGCTTATTGCAAATTTGGGTGCAGAGTGATTGATTTTAGGGATTTTCGAATCGATTTTGTGTCCAAGTCTTCCATTGACACGGATTTTTATGCCATCCACGTAGCAAGTTGACAATTTCCACATATTTAATGTATATCCATGCACAAAGCCGAAAATTCCACGTCAATGTACGCTACCAGTGATGAGCCTCCTCCTAAATCTGGAGTGAACCGGGAAATATGAGCTCCGATCTGTTCGAACCGCCTTCAAATCGACCATTTTTTTTAAGGTCCAACCAATTTTAGGTTCGACTTGCAATAAGTAAATTGAGGTTGAGATTATATTGCAATAACCCAAAGATTGAGATAAAATTGCCAAACGCAAAAAGGTTAAGGTTTATTTAGCAATTAACCCTTTTTTATATATGAATTCATTACCTATACTAATTTGATTATAATTGATCGAGATTGTACTAATTCGAGTTCGATTGTAGTAATTTGACTTTAATTGGACTAATTCGACTTCGATTTCATTATAAATGACATCAATTATAGTATTTTGACTTTAGTTGGACTAATTCGACTTCGATTTCATTATAAATGACATCGATTATAGTATTTTGACTTTAATTGGACTAATTCGACTTCGATTTCATTATAATTGATCGAGATTGTACTAACTCGAGTTCGATTGTAGTAATTTGACTTTAATTGGACTAATTCGACTTCGATTTCATTATAATTGATCGAGATTGTACTAATTCGAGTTCGATTGTAGTAATTTGACTTTAATTGGAATAATTCGACTTTGATTTCATTATAATTGATTGAGATTGTACTAATTCGAGTTCGATTGTAGTAATTTGACTTTAATTGGACTAATTCGACTTCGATTTCATTATACATGACATCGATTCTATTAATTTAACTTTAATTGGACTGATTCGACTTCGATTTCATTATAATTGATCGAGATTGTACTATTTTTATAATGTACTATTTTTTTTGGTAAACTTAAATAAAAAATATTTATCACGCGACGGTGTATTTTTGTGTGTCGCGGCCGCGATGAACTGGGTGAATTTTTTTGTGTCACGCCCGCGGCGACTGTCCTGCCCGTGACGTACTAAGTGTATAAATAAGAAAAAAAA